AAAGAGAATATATCCAGTGAGTGGCAGTTGTGTGGAGGAAAATGCCTTGTTGATATCAGAAGTCAGAGGATAATGGGCAGACTGGTTCCAGATGATAGAAAGGCAACAGTAACACATGTCAATATGGACCAAAATCTCTGAAGAATGTTTCCAACACCTTGTTGAATCTATTCCACAAAGAATGAAGGCAAAAGGGGGCCCAACCCGGGACTAGCAAGGCGGACCTAATAAAGTGGGTGGTCTGTATAGATCAGACCTCTAAAGCCTGGCCACACATGGATCGAAATTTGTCCAGTTTAGCAGGGATCGGCAGAATTTCCATCCATGTGTGGGCAGAAGTCGTTCTACTGATGTGTACAATTGCCCTGTCAGACTTTCCCCACTCGATCAGCACCACCGCCTATAGCCAGCTGTTCTAATCTGTGTATTCTGAGCGTGGGGAAGTCTCCCCACTGCCAGAATAAAAGAGCTCGGGAGAGGAGTCAATGTGAAGGGGGGATTTTGGTCGTTATTTTTTTTTTTCTTTTTCCATTCACCATGCTGGCTGAGCAACAACAAAAAAGCCATTCATCTATGGGCTGCCTACGAAAATGGCTCTGAATTTGGAGGTAAAAGGCTGGATTTGTGCGTTCATAGCTCAGAATGCTGAGATAAAGCGTCAGATGACATGCTGTGTGCTGATGGTAAAACTGCTTATCTACACTGGTTTCTGTACAGAAAATCTTGTCGGTATTGGAGATTGCCATCAGAGACTTGACAAAAGTTGTTGGAACGTAGTTCAAAGTTTCATGTGTGTGTAACATTACATTTTGGAATGAATGGAATCTTCCTAAACAAAAACCACATACTCTGCAAGGGATGGTTTTACTGCATCAAAAATGCATGGACACGCGGTCCATGCGGTTATATGGGTTCCAATGGCCGAGTTCACACCATTTGTGGTCAGTTTCTTTTACAAAAAGCTTTATTGAATAACAAGCAAAGATGAACAGGCAGTCAAAGCAAGAATTCAATGACCAACATGTACACATTACAATGAATGAAGGGGAACTGATGCAAGGCATGCATAGATAAAAGCAAAATCCGAAAAGTTTACATAGGTGCTCTGAGGGAGGGGATGAGGAGGGAGGTTGGGAAGGAACAGATAACAGACCTTTATGGGTCAATAACAATATAAACTCCAAAGAGAAGTATTGCTACATCAACATTATAAAAAAAACAGGAAAGGCCTGAGAGAAGACTGCATCAAAAAAAAAAAAAAAAACAATACATATTCATGACCTAGAATGTAAAAAGAAATCTAGATTGCATAAATAGCCTTGTGGATGCAGCACAGAGAACAGCAGGCACAAACTGTAAATTATGTGTTAGGACAGAGTAAACAGAAGAGTAGAAAAAGACAAATAGTAGAGATACACGGACAACACACAGACACTAAAAAAAAAAAAAATGGAGAGGGAGGGGCTCTGGGGGGATCACGGCAGAATCCATCCTCATATCGATAGAAGGGACTGGTCGAATCTCGAGGGCTGGGCTACATCCAGCCAGGGACGCCATACCTGCAGAAATTTTGTATGGGTATCCAATAATATGGCCGTCAGTTTTTCATTGACCATTATGAAGTTCATCCGATTTTTGACAGCCTCAAAGCTAAGAACAGGAGTCTTCCAAGCCCTCGCAATCGTCAATTTAGTTGCCATAAATAAATGATGTGATGCCAGCTGCCGTTCAGAGCGGAGAAGGCCCTCTAGTGGTTTAAATAGAAGCGCTCAATATGGATTACGCTTAATGTCTGTATGAAGAATAGTGCGAAGGAGGGCATATACCCTAATCCACAACCTGCTTACCTTAGGACAAGTCCACCAGATATGTGCCATGGTACCTAATTGTTGGCAACCCCGAAAACAAACCGGGGAATAGGTAGGAATAAAACTAGCTAGACGGGCAGGCGTATAATACCATCGGTATAGAATTTTGTAGGCATTCTCAAGAATAATAACATTCCTGGAACACTTAGATAATGTTTGGATCATGAGCTGCCAGTCTTGTTGATCCAGGGTTCCCCCTAATTCCGACTGCCAACGCTGATGATAGGAACGAACCGGAGGGGTTCTATATGACATAATGGAAGAATAAATCAGGGAGATCAGACCTGGTGCATGAGGTCTATGTCTACACTGGCTTTCAAAAGGGGATAAACGATAAGGTCCTGGATGCGTACGTATTAGAGTATGAATAAAGTGACGAAGTTGAAGATAACCAAAATGTTCTCGGAGGGGAATGTTATAAGAAGAACGCAAAGTGTCAAAAGTAATTATTCTGGTGGGGTACAGGAGTGAATGAATATCATAAAAACCATGTGTCTGCCACCAGACAAACTGTCTAGGGTTATCCTTACCCGGAAGGAATAATGGGTTATGCAATAGACGTAGCAGAGGCAGATGAGGAGAGATAAGACCAGCGGAGTATTTTACAGAATCCCAAAGACGAAGCGAAAGCGTCAGCGTTGGGCTAAGATTAGATGGACGCTGAGAATTAGGGAACCAGGGCAAGGAGGGGGAGTGGTATCGGGTGAGAGTCCATCATATCTACTACAGCCCACAGGGGGAAATGGTGAGAAGCATGAATATGAGCTAAAAGGGCAATGTTGGCCGCCAAATAATAGGACTGGAGATTTGGAACAGATAACCCGCCCGCATTCCGCCGCGCAAATAAAATGTGCTTGCTAATTCTAGGTCGAGAGGAGCCCCAAATAAAGGACAAAAGTTTTCGCTGATGTATACGCAATATATGTGAAGGTACTGAAACTGGCAGAACACGAAATAGGTATAATAATTTAGGAAGATAAGTCATACGGATTGCATTAATTCTACCGAACCATGATAACGGGAAATGGGACCAAGAGGACAAGAGCTCAGTCAACTCATGAAAAACAGTGGGAAAGTTAGCCTGATACAGTCCATCATATGTCGGGGTAAGCTTAATTCCTAGATATGGTAAGGCCGAAAGCCATTGGAAGGGAAACGTTCGCTTCAAAGTAGTCAATAGTGGTGGTGGGAGGGTAACTGACATAGCTCTTGATTTAGCTGAATTGACATGTAAACCGGAGAGGGTGGCAAAAGAATCAAGAACTGCTAGCAAATTAGGCAAAGTAATCCCCGGATTCGAGATTGACAATTATATGTCATCCGCAAACAACGATAATTTATGTTGGGAGCCTGCCACATCGATTCCCTTAATATCAGGATGTACATTGTGGTCAGTTTCAGTGTAGAAAAAACACAACGTGCTGCCTTTTTTCTGCACTGAACTTTGCCGGAATGCGGCAAAAAACTCACTGGAAAACTCTTTAACCGCTTCCCATCTGGCCGTTTATATACATGAGCAGTGCAGGGGCGGGTGGCTGTTTATAAATGGCCTCTCCACCCCCTGCTTGTGTGCGCTCCCTGGGAGCGTGCAGCATCACGGACACAGTGGAAGACCGATCGTTGTACGGGACCTCTGTGCAAGATCCCGATCATGTGATCACTGATTGGCCAATCAGTGATCACATGAAGAGTAGTAAGCAAGATGTCACTTCTGACTTCATTGCTTACTACGTGTGACATCTGTGAATGATTACAAAGGTCACATGGTACAAGGCTATTCACAACAGCATTGTACCATATGACAAGCTGTGACCAATCACAGCTCACACAGTATTTCTCAATGGCTGCAAGAATGCAGCCAGAGAGGAGAAATGATTGCTTTATGGGTGTAAAAGCAATCAGTGTAAAAAAAAAAAAAAAAAATCTTCGTAACCCCCCACAAGTAGTACAATGTCACTATGGTGACACTACTGCTAGGGTGACAGTATGTAAATATAAAAAAAAAACAAATAATAAAAAAAAAAAAAAAATGTTAAAAATTTAGAAACATTTTGGTTATAAATTAATTTGGGTTATTTTTTGTTTTACTAAAAAGATAACTAAATAAATTTTGGCCAATATTTATGAAGAAAGATTATTTGCAAAATGTTAAAGGAAAATAAAATGTTTTAAACATTTTTGGACTTTTTCATTTATATAGCAAGAAGATTTACAGCACTGGGATTTTGGGTGCAATCACCAGCAGGAACATTTTTCACTTATTGGAATTTTTTGAAGAATTGCATTTATTTTTATGTTTCATCATCTTTTGGGACTATCAGTCACATTTTTGTTTGTATATTTACATGTAATGATTTATGCTAGCAGAGCGACACTTTCATTTGATTTAATATCACTGTTGCACCATATTTTCTCCACTTGATGACTGACTTCACTGTGTTCCATGGTATATCTAATGCCTTGGAAATTCTTTTGTACTTTTCTCCTGACTGATACCTTTTAACAATGAGATCCCTCTGATGTTTTGGAAGCCCTCTGCCTTGCTTTTGCTGTAGGATGCTGTCAGGGACTGCCAGTGCCTCTCCCATCCGCTGCCATATCCCTCCACCCCTCCCTTCCCCCTTGCACATTCCGATGTCTGTGGTTCTTCCATGGACAGGGCTGGGCCGGCCGTTGCCAAGGCAACCTAGCCGCATCCCACTTGGTTTTCAAAAGACCCACACAGGAAGCAGCCCTCCTCTCTCTGTTCCTGTCCATGCTGCTGGAATCATCTTGCTCCCAGAAAGATGCTGGGAGGCTCGGGTGAGGGGGACCGAGCCTCCCCAGCCATCCCCCTGCGCACTCTGCAGACCCCCAAAAGGTCAGGACTGTAGCCCTCTGCAATACCCCAGGGTTGGGAGTCTCCACAGCTCTGCATGAGCCTTCTCCTCAAAGGTCAGACCCCACAGCTGAGACCCTGCCATTCTGTAAGCCTGTCTACTGGGCACCCTTGCACCCTGTCTGCTGCTGAGTGCCCTGGGAGCTGCTGCTGAGGGACCCTGCACACTATCCGTGGCTGCGTGTCCCTGGAGGCTGTCTGCTGCTGAGTGCCCTGGGAGCTGCTGCTGGGGGACCCTGCACACTGTCCGTGGCTGCGTGTCCCTGGAAGCTGTCTGCTGCTGAGTGCCCTGGGAGCTGCTGCTGTCTGCTGATCGCTGGTTGTCCCTGGAACGCTGACCGCTGGTCATCCCTGTCTGGAGCCGCCTGCCGCTGAGGGTCTGCAAGCTGCTTACCGTGAGTGTCCTGAACTGTCCCCGCTGTGTGCACCGACCACCCGTGTTCTGAACTGTCCCTGCTGTGTGCACTGACCACCCGTGTCCTGAACTGTCCCTGTTGTGTGCACCGACCACCCGTGTTCTGAACTGTCCCCACTGTGTGCACCGACCACCCGTGTTCTGAACTGCCCCCACTGTGTGCACCGACCACACCATGTCCTGATGGCATGCCCGGAGTATAGCTACCTGTGGTGCCCCTGAGTGCTTGAGCCATCGCTACTCATTGAGTCCCCGTGAACCCAATGACCCTAGAAAGTTGGGTAGGAGCTGTGCTGTTGCCAGACTCCACAGCTAGAGTCCTGTTGAGTCCCCGAGACCCCTGCCTAGGGGTAGGTTGCCGCCTGTTGCCTGAGGCCCCTGCCCGGTGGTACGTTACCGCCTGTTGCCCGAGGCCCCTGCCCAGTGGTAGGTTGCCGCCTGTTGCCCGAGCCCCTGCCCAGGGGTAGGTTGCCGCCTGTTGCCCGAAGCCCCTGCCCAGTGGTAGGTTGCTGCCTGTTGCCCGAGACCCCTGCTCAGGGTTAGATTGCCGCCTGTAGCCCGAGGCCCCTGCCCAGGGGTAGGTTGCCACCTGTTGCCCAAGACCCCTGCTCAGGGGTAGATTGCCGCCTGTTGCCCGAGTCTCCAATCCGCAGTCCAGTCACGGAGGGAGCTCGGCTGAGGCCCCAAGCCTAGGGGGGAGATTGCCTGCCTGTCGCTGAAAACCCCCTGTGCCTGGAATCATCCCTGGTTTGCGCACACATCACCCTCCCTGCCATTTCCCCATTGAGTGTCTGTCATTTTGTTGCTTCAATAAAGTTTTGTGTGTTCCCCATCTTCTCCATGTGCTCTGTCCTGCCTACGCTTCCGTTACATATGCGACTAAGAAAATGTCAGGAAAGACCTGCTAGAACAGCTGAACTTTATTTGGGGTTAATCAGAGGCACTTTAAATGATGGCAGGTGTACTGAGTCCTATTTAACATGGTTTTGAATGTGATTGTTTAATTCTGAACACAGCTACATCCACAGTTATAAGAGGGTGCGAACACTTATGCAACCACATTAGTTTAGTTTTTTGTTTATTCCCCCCCCCAAAGATTTCAGTTTGTTTTTCATCTGAGTTGTACAGTTTATAGGTCACATTAAAGGTGGAAAAAGTTCTGAAATGATTTATCTTTGTCTCATTTTTTTACATCACAAACCTGACATTTTAACGGGTGTGTAGACTTTCTATATTTTAATATCCACTGTGTATATATACAGTGTATGTGTGTGTATGTATGTGTGTGTATATTTTATATATATATATATATATATATATATATATATAAACTTATTTTAAAAATATATAAAAAGAAATTAAAAAAAACCCAGTGGTGATAATATACCACCAAAGGAAACCTATATTTGTGTGTAAAAAAATATATATAAATTTAATCTGGGTACGTTTCCTCCTGACTTTCTATATCCCTGCTGAGAGATTCATCCCCTCTTTTTGTCCTGGTGACCAATGACAGAAAGTGATGGGATAGCCAAAATATTACAGTTGACTCTGGAACAGGAATAAAAAGGAAATATTCCAATGGTTGTCTATTGGGATGTCCCTATCACTTTGGAGTTAACTCTCTTCTTGCTTCCTTTTGAGTGTATCTGGACAGTATTACAGCACCTCAAAGCCCTCCAGAACTTCTAGAACTGCTACATTCAGAGTCCTTACCAAGACTTCCAGAATTCTACTATCAGAATCCCTTCCAAGGAAACTCAGACTGCATGTTGGTGCGTTTCTGCATTTTTTGATGTGTTGTATTACAAAGGTGGCAAAAATCCCAAGGCACCCCAGCCTGAAATGTAAAAAACCTAAAATATTATTTCACCGCTGGTATCATCAACAAAAAGAAGAAGCAGCCTCCAGCTCAGTCAGCTCTCTAGTGTCATCTTCCTTGATTAGGCTTTTGGGTGGACCGGCCCTTTAACACTTCATGATCACAACGATATTCCAATACCCGCTACAAATGTGTCCACCTCTGAACGCAAAGGATTCTGTTATAGCTGTAAAAACCATTTCCTTGTATTCCCTTTTATAGAGGAATAACTGGTGGCTATTCTATGATTACAGTTTTTAATGAAATGTTCATATTTCACGGCAAACTTTCCAATATGCTACAAATGTATCAACACGGATTTATTTTAATTTTATCTTTGGATTTTAAGTAAGTACATATCAATCCATAGCCATAGATATCCCCAATCTTTTTTGGTCTTTTAATTCATGATGTGTCCTTTTATGGCTAATGATCCATTATTTATGCCATCCATTCCTTCATTTTGTGATAAAAACACTATCTTTGTATTCAGTTCATTAATAAACACAGTAGGTATAGTTGTATTTCAGTCACTGTACTGACGCATATGAATTTAATAAAGCCAAGAGACACAAGAGACACAAAGGCATGTGGATTCTACTTGGTCAGATTAGAGCATCAGCACCCCACAAAAGCTTTTAGTGAACTCTAAAGTCAGTGGACAAATACATCAAGTGTACACGGGGGGGAAAAAAAAGAGGCACTGAATTAGCAAATGCCCCCTTTTGGACGGCTCTTACAAGGCAAGGAAGGGGCTGACTTGGGCATTGAGGTCTCCAGGAAACCTACCCACACACGGACCGCTATCTGCCTTTTGACTCACACCACCACCCACTGGAACACGAGCTTGGGGGGTTCTTAGGACTCTGCAATATCCGTGCTGACATGGGTAGCAACCAAAAGAGTCTAAAGACAAAAGAACACAGATGCAACGCCACCCTTGCGAGGGACGCTGGCGTGTTTACCCCGGTTTCCCTTGACTCCTTCGCCCGCAGCCAGGCACAGTGTATTTCTTCAGCCAAATACACACGCGCGCAAACGCTCCTTGCCTTCAATGACCGGATAGGGGATGTTGTTTTTGAGTTTTCTTGTCGAGCTGGGATAGGATGGGGAATTGTAGTAGGATACTCCAAAATGAGAACTTTTCACACTGAAGACATCTAGCTGATCTCTTAGTTAGCAGCAGTATTGACGTCCTGACTGGCTTGAGGCCCTCAGGTCCACCCACCTGGGCCTCATGGCAGCCGGCGCCAGGCGAGGCAGCCTGCCTCCAGCCCAGCTGTTCAGTCCTTCTCCCAGGAAAGACGCTGAGCCCATGTGCTCGCAGAACATTAAATGCCAACTCCCAGCATGCCACAGGACTGCCCTCCTTGCAAACTGGCCAGGGCGGTATCCGTGTATCACCGCTGTTCATTTGCCTAGCCCCTACCCATGTTCTGGAAAGCTTCACAGCTTCCTGAAGGCACGGTAATAAACTCAGAACAAACTTCAAAACAACATCAGAGAATCATGAGCAGACCTGACTACCAATCCATGGCAGCACTCTTGTTAAGCCAGAATACCACCACTGAA